TTCACATGGATTTAATTTCTTTTGCAGATTAAAAAAACAAAAAACTTTGAGAGTTTTGGCGATTAACAAAGATGGCCGACCAAGAGGCATGCTCCAGGATTGAACAAGGGTCAGTTATCAAGTTTTTGGTTGCTGAAGGGTGCAAATCAGTTGAAATTCATAGGAGAATGTCAACTGTGTATGGTGCCACATGTTTCAGCCCCCCAAAAAAAAAATGTGTACAAGTGGGCTAAATTGTTTAAAGAAGGACGGAGCAGTGTTGAGGATGAAGACAGGCCTGGGAGAGCTACAGAAGTGAGGTCTCCTGAGATGATCGAATAAGTCAATGACCTCATTCAGTCTGACAGAAGGGTGACGGTGGATGACATTGCAAGGACTTTGAGCTTATCTGTTGGGACAGCACACAAAATTGTCCATGATGACCTTGGCTACTCAAAGGTCAGCTGCCGGTGGGTGCCAAAGATACTTATTGCAGAGCACAAACAGAGGAGGGTCGAGTTGTCCCAGCAGTGTCTCTCCCGCTTGTGAGAAGGATGGTGATGAATTTCTGAAGACATGGGTTTGGCACTATGAGCCTGAGTCCAAACGGCAGTCCATCGAGTGGAAGCACGAAGGCTCTCCAGCGAAGAAGAAGTTCAAGTCCCAGCGGTCCACGAGGAAGGTGATGCTCACCGTTTTTTGGGGTATGCAAGGCCCAATCACCATTTCATTCCTTGAGAAAGGAAGCATTGTGAACAGTGTCAACTATTGTGAACTGCTGAGGCAGGCCAAGAAAGACATAAAGAACAAACGCAGGGGTCATCAGTCAGAAGGAGTCATCTTGCATCATGACAACACAAGGCCTCACACAGCAGCCCAAACGGTGCAGACCATCAACGAGCTGGGCTGGGAACTGCTCCCTCATCCCCCTTACAGCCCAGACCTTGCCCCTTCAGACTTTCACCTGTTTGGTCCCTTGAAAGCGTTCACGAGAGGCACGAAGTTTAAAAGTGACGATGAAGTCAAAAGTGTTGTGAGCGACTGGCTGAGACATCAGTCCAAAGATTTTTACGCTGAGGGAATACGGAAGCTTGTGCACAGATGGGAAAAGTGTGTGACAGTGCTGGGAGACTACGTTGAAAAAAAAAAAAAGTAAGCTTCTATCTGTATTAGAAGTCCTTATACCGAAAAATTATTTATTGAATGACCCTCGTATGTTATAACTCAATTTGGCATTGTCGCTGCGCTGGACAAAAATACTCCACGCGCAAATCAATTTCCTTTTTCTATACTTTGTCATAACTCAACCATATACTAAGGTACTTGAAGTGTTTTTTTTATTATGGTTTCAGGGCATTTGCCGTAATTACACTCTTTCCAATTTCAGGTAATAATCTCTGCTTTAAAAGGCTTTATCAGAATGCCTATTTCTTGGAACAACGTAATATTCTGTCAAGGTATTTGTAAATAAAACGGTGAACAATGAACAGGGATAAGTGGGACTCAAAAAGAGACAGAGTGATCATCTCATTTGGATTTTAAGTTTTTCCTTCCCTCAGCAAGGCTGGTGCTAACCTCCAGGAGAATGGCTCATTCCGTCTTCTCTGACAAACGTTTTCCGAAAAGTAGAAAGATTAGATTGAATCAACTGCTAGGTCACCTGAAAGGAAAGTTAGTTACCCGTGTCATGCTAGACAATTCTTTTTTCGCCAGAATCTGTCTTACAGATTTATAAGTTTACATTTCGACAATATTGCTGCCACATCTGGTCTAGTACTCCTGCTATATATTGATTAATTATTGCTAAATTCTAAAGAAGAATCTGCAATGTTACTGGTTTTGAACTGGCATTTCGGCTTCAATTACTTTCCCACCGCTGTAATGTAGCTTCTCTGTGCCTTTTTTGTTTATAAATACTTTTATAGTAATTGTTCTGATGAACTTTCCCCTTTCTATTTAGAGTTTATGAATCTAAGCGCAGTACTAGATTGGCAGCAAAGTGCCATTAATTTACAGCTGAAAAACTAGATGCAACCGTAAGTTCTATGCTAACAGTTTCTTCGATCGTCCTTCTAGCTTGTGCAACTCACTTCCAGGTTCTTGCTTCGCAGTCAGCTTCGATTTTCAAAAGTTTATATGCAATATGAATCGTTGCTGTCTTCTTAATTCTTGTTCTTTTATTGTTCTCTCCCTTGAATAGTTATTCTTTCATATTCTCTAACACTCAGTAACCACTTGCGTCTTAGTGGCTTTATTTCCATGCATAGTATATGTACCACATGTCTAACCATCATTTGTATAGTTTCAGGTGGTATCGGTTGGTTCCCCATGTTACTGTGGAAACATTGAATTGCATAATAAAATCTATCTATCTATCTATCTATCTATCTATCTATCTATCTATCTATCTATCTATCTATCTATTCTATCTATCTATCTATCTATCTATCTAATCCTATCTATCTATTTCTATCTCATCTATCTATCTATCTATCTATCTATCTATCTATCTATCTATCTATCTATCTATCTATCTGTTCCTTCCTTTTTCTATCTATCTATCTATCTATCTATCTATCTATCTATCTATCTATCTAATCCTGTTATCTTTCTATTCTATCTATTTATTCTATCTATCTATCTATCTATCTATCTATCTATCTATCTATCTATCTAATCCTGTTCCTTTTCTATCTATCTATCTATCTATCTATCTATCTATCTATCTATCTATCTATCTATCTCATCCTGTTCCTTTTCTATCTATCTATCTATCTATCTATCTATCTATCTATCTATCTATTTTGATCTTTTCCTATTTATCAATATATGTCTGTTCACTATTTTGATTTTTTCTCCATCTATCTATCTATCTATCTTCACTTACTATATCTATCTGTCCTTACAAAATACTGACTTGGTAAATCGACTTCGATTCAGTATGAAACTACTTATTTTCCTATATCGAATAATACTCGTATTCACTTGCCGTTTCGTCGCTTCCATGGCAATAACCAATGAAGGATGTATTATAAACATGTATGTAGCGGTAAATTTGCCGCTGGATGACAGAATTAATCCTGTTTGCCAATTAGAGAAGCTATAACTTTATTCCTTTCTTTATTTTCCACCTCTTCTCTTTATTTTTGTGTTAAGAATTAGCGTCTGTCTCGTTCATTATCCGAGATAGCAATTACCGCGAGAGAATTAGCATTATCACTACTATCATTATGTTGCCGCTTCAAGATGACTGCACACATCAACAACCGCTTTCTATTCATCTCAGACTCGTAATATCTATAACTCAGTCTGTTCTTAACGATGTCAGGCTTTTCATTATCTATCTATCTATCTATCTATCTATCTATCTATCTCAGTCTGTTTACTGTCTGTTATGGTCCGGTTCCTTGTACCACGGTGATAGTCCAAGGTAGAACCAATAAAGAAGAACCCGAATACGGATATGGAATAACACAGATATATTACAAACAGGAATATATACAGAGAAGTAGAAAGTGTTAGTACGAACAATCAGGTTTAGTAGTAATTGTCTGAACTCGACTCTGTTTCGGACTGCCTCTGACTCGACTGACTTCTGACGGACTTCACTCCAGACTTCAGACTGAACGGTATTTAGTCACCCCCCACGAGGGCATCATGTGGCACAAGGCCGGTTTAACGTGGGATCACCGAGCCCGTTGGCTCGGCCAAAAATATGCCCTTTGAACCCGTATAAACGGGTTCACGGTCGGTTTACGTCCCCGAAAGAGACACCGCCCTTCGGCGTAGCCTCGTTCGGGTTCCTCCCCGCCCGAAGGCAGAGAGTTCAACCGATCAGCCTGTCAGCCGGTCGCCCGACTGCGGACTGAACTTCCTGCTTCCTCTTGAGGCGCAGTATTTATTACATATGGAATAGTCCATTATGTTATTATGGGGAAGGTCCCATAACACTATATCTCTCACTCAGTTTACTATCTATCTATCTATCTATCTATCTATCTATCTATCTATCTATCTATCTATTTATCTATCTATCTATCTATCACAGTCTGTTTCTTATCTATCTGATTAACGGTCAATTGACTTCTGATTTTCGTCTTTTTCGTTTAGTTTTTTTCTTCGTGTCTGTATCTTTTCAACTTTCAAATTGGAGAATGAATCAATAAGTCTAGAATTCTTTGCTGATTTTGATATGAAATTTTGACGATATAACAAACAAAACACATTGTATAAAGAGCTTGTAATATCCAGCGCTTTACTAAGGATTTGAACTCAGTATTATCACATTATAGTAGCCTCAAGTTTCTTTTTCATTCGTAAAGGGATTGTGCAGAATTCAATGCCGTACATCAGGCTAGATATTATATAATATTTCAGCACCCCTTTATTTGTCTCTAACCACATTTTTTCGATGTCTCAATACCTTGCCTATTTTCTGAAAGATATCTTTTTCTATTCCTATGCACTTTCGTATTTCTGTGTCGCAAATTATCCGAGGGTACCTACTTGTTTTCAGTATCGCCTTATCGATTAGACCACAAAAGCTAATTGCGTTTGCTATTAATCCACCAAATTCTACTAGTCCTGGGTATGACGATAAACTACATCCAGCAGCAAGGCCTCCGATTAGAGTTTTTGAGGAGTGTGAGACCATCTCTTAATTGCTGCTGGTCCACGCTGACTCGGGGTGGTAGCACCTTTTAGGGTCCCAATTATGCGCAAATAGTGAACACAAGCAAAAACGAAACATTATGAAAGCATAGAAAGGCATATTTATATATAAATAATGGGATGTGATGTGACAATAATGTGGTAATACCGAGTTCAAACCCTTAAAGAAGCGCTGAATCTTACAGGGTCAATTATCATTATCTTTTACTTGTTATATCGTCAAAATTTCATATCAAAATCAGCAAAAAACTGTAGACTTATTGATTCATTCTGGGATCTGAAAGTTGAAAAGATACAGACACGAAGAAAAAACTACACGAGAGTGACGAAAATCAGAAATCAATTGACTGTTAATCAGATAGATAGGAAACAAACTGAGATAGATAGATAGATAGATAGATAAATAGATAGATAAATAAAATCAGCAAAAGATGATAGATATGATAAACTGAACTGAGATAGTAAACAGACGGAGATAGATAGATGAGTTGAACTGAGATAGTAAACAGACGGAGATAGGATAGATAGATAGATAGATAGATAGATAGATAGATAGATAGATATAAACTGAACTGAGATAGTAAACAGACGGAGATAGATAGATAGAAATAGATAGATAGATAGATAGATAGATAGAAGATAGATAGATAGAGAAATGAACTGAGATTAAACAGACGGGATAGATGATAGATAGATAGTAAACTGAACTGAGATAGTAAACAGACGGAGATAGATAGATAGAAAGATAGATAGATAGATAGATAGATAGATAGATAGATAGATAGATAGTAAACTGAACTGAGATAGTAAACAGACGGAGATAGATAGATAGATAGATAGATAGATAGATAGAAAGATAGATAGATAGATAGTAAACTGAACTGAGATAGTAAACAGACGGAGATAGATAGATAGATAGATAGATAGTAAACTGAACTGAGATAGTAAACAGACGGAGATAGATAGATAGATAGATAGATAGATAGATAGATAGATAGTAAACTGAACTGAGATAGTAAACAGACGGAGATAGATAGATAGATAGATAGATAGATAGATAGATAGATAGATAGATATATATAGATAGATATAAACTGAACTGAGATAGTAAACAGACGGAGATATAGATAGATAGAATATAGATAGATATATATAGATAGATAGATATAAATGATATGAGATATAGATAGATAGATAGATAAAGATGTAAACTGAACTGAGATATAGATAGATAGATGATAGAAATAGACTGAACTGAGATAGTAAACAGGATAGAGATAGATAGATAGATAGATAGATAGATAGTAAACAGACTGAGACAGACAGACAGATAGATAGATAGATAGATAGATATATAGATAGATAGTAAACTGAACTGAGATAGATTGAAAATAGAACTTAGGCAGATCGTAAACAGACTGAGATAGATAGATAGATAGATAGATAGATGTTTATAGTATATATTTAATTGAAGCCATAAAATTGTGTTCAAAATAGTAGATTTTAGGATCCTACTTCCCAAAATATTATGAATACTCAATAAATTTACTTTCCAATAGTATCATCATCATCATCATCATCATCATCATCATCATCATCATCAGTCCTGTGCTCGGTTTATGGCAACGTCACGTTGAAACACCTGGTTCCCGTACGATCAGTAACGCTAAGCGACGTCGAGCTTGGTCAGTACTTAGATGGGTGACTGCTTGAGAATACCAGGTGCTATAAATTTGGATGTTCGGATGGTGTAATGGTTAATAGCCCGGAATCGTTAATCGAATAGCCGAGTTCCAATTCCAGTTGGGTTCGTTATATTCATTTGCGCGCAAATAATCATGAGAAAGATATGAATCCACCTCTCCCCCCGGCTACGGGTTAATTAGTAAGACTTGTATCACTCAACCTATTATTATATGCAAAAAAAAAAATGCATAAAAAATGTTTGATTTCGTCATAAAATAGCCCATTGCTATGTCGCTAAATAAAATCAACCAAGCAAGCAAGCAAATTCTACAATACATGAGTTGTTAGGATCTGATAGACATTTTATTTCTATCACTCTATGATGAATTAACGCTGTTGCTTACGAAGATGGTATTCTTTTGAAAAAATACTATCATCATCATCATCATCATCATCACCACTGTCCGTCAATTTGCTTTGTTCGTTCGGCTCTGTCCAGTAACCGGCTGCCTTTTGCAAGAGCCTTTCTCGTGGACCATTTAATTTGACTCGTAAGTTACCCGAGGGTCTCCGACATCTGCTTCTGGATTGTTGTCAGCAAAATGTGAAGAATGATTGTGATCGCCCCCCCCCTTTGATCTTAAATAAGGTCCATTTCGCTTCGTGATTGATGAAAAGGAGTCTAATGAAATCCGTGCGGGGAAACTAGCGGGGTTTCAGGAAAAATGAAACTCCTGATGTTTAATCTAATGAAGTTATTCTTGTACAAAGGGCATGAAAAAAAAAGTAGGTGGCTGTGTGTAAATGAGATACGCCTGCATTCGTCAGGTTTATTTATTTATCTATGTAACTTTGTCTATTATTGTCTAAGTGCCAGGCGAAAAAAGAAGGTGGAGCTGATAAAACATTGTGGCGCCTTCGGTTGGGTAATCCTCCACGACCTGAAGGAACACGGCACACAGAGAGTGACATATATATATATATATATATATATATATATATATATATATATATATATATATATTTATATATATATATTTGGAGGAGGAGGGGAGGGAGGGAGAAGAGAGAGGAGGAAAGGGGGGGGAGCGAGAAATGAGCGAGAGAGAGGAGAGGGGGGAAGGTGGGAGATAGAGAGAGGGGAGAAAGGGGAATAGATGTAGAGAGAGAAGGGTGATATATATATATATATATAGAGAGAGAGAGAGGGGAGATACAAAGAGAGTAGAGGGAAGATAGAGAGAGAGGCGATAGATATACAGAGAAGGGGATTGAAAGAGAGAATCGGGAGCTTGAGAGGAGGAGATAGAGAGAGAGATAGAAAGAGAGAGGGGGATTATGAAAGAAAGAAGGTAAGTGAGATGAAATCAGAAATTATAAAAAGAACGACCATAAAATACCTTTTCTGAAATGGAGGGAGCCTGGTTTACACCAAAGAGGTTTTAAATCTAAGATGAGGTACTTTAGCCAAAGTTTAAAAATACCGTGATGGAATATTTCGATGTTCCAAGAAATAGGAGTTTTGATGAACACTTTTAAAGCAGAAACTTGGATCTGGAATTGGAATTAATGTAATGATGACAAATGAGCTGAAGCCATAATAAGAACACTTCAAGTACCTTAGTATATGGTTGAGTTATGACATATTTAGTATCGAAAAATGAAATCGGTTTGCTCGAGGAGTATTTTTGTCCAACGCATCGACAATCCTGAATTATTAACCCGAAAACTCATCTTCTTAAGTAACGTCGTTAAATCAAGACTTTTATATTTATGTCACGCATGACGTCTGTTTCATTCAGAAACATTTAAACTATTAGCTGTATACGACCATTTCCTTAGGTTAATGATTCAAAATAACTTCAAACTCTTAATTCTTTAAACCGTAAAGACTGTAGATTGGCGCGAAAGGATCGCCTACGAAGAACATTATCAAATAAAACAACCCATCACTTGAAGACATCCAACAATGGCAACAACAAAATGGGTAGCACATGTAATTAGACAGAAAAAGAATGAAAGAATCAAGATTTCTTTCTACACTACAAAAATTAAAACGTTTGGAACGAAAATCTCACTAATATTAGAAAGAGCGATAACAATTAATAAACTCAAGAAGCTTAGAGTCTGTCTATACTTCTGAGATGAGGTATTATGTACAGTATTTACATTAGTCGGACTATTGTCCTCATCTTTGTCGCCATATTTGTCACATATTTGGGTTCAGTTCGAAATTCCAATCACCTGAAGAAGACCGGCGTGTACAACGGCCGAAACGTTGTGACAAATATGGCGATCAAGAAGCTTAATTTTTGAAGAAAAAAAAACTATTTTAAATAAACATAATTTTGAATTTACAGCAACTGTTCTATCAATGAATATAGAATATTTTCTATATGAAAAAATATACTAATTATAATTTATACCTATCTATATGTTTTATCTATATATTTATCTATATGTTTTTATATAACTATTTTATGTATTATACTAATTTGGCCTTTATCATTTTCATCAAAATGCCTCAATGTTTTTGACAAGGGAACATGTGATTGGGTATACATTTTGGCAAACAAATTTCGCATAACGAGCTTACGCGGCCAGGCAGTGACTGCAAAAACGGCTGTTACTTTTATATTCAACCTCGACAAGAATCAATACTATAGAAGAATACCCGTTCAGACAGTGAGGTGTTGTCAACTTTCCAGCTTGGACATGTCTACTTAAATTTTACCACGGCAACCAAATAGGCACACTTGCACTCGGTTTCAAAGCTGACGAATTCTTAATGTCTACGGAAGAATCGGAAACACTTTTCACCCTTTGGCCATTGTTCAACAGCTGCGATCAAAACGCGATGGACTTCTGTGTCACTTTAAGAACGAGAGCGCCACAAGACCAATTATCCTGTCTCGACTATTAAAAGATGTCAAGGGAACAACTGAACTACTAATCGTAATTGGTTGGATGCGGATCCATTTTGTGATAGAGACAGTATCAAGAATGGGGAAAAAATGGTGAGAAATAAGAAAAAAATAGTGCCACATAAAACATTGATCTGAAAGTACTATTTGCCGGTCGAGATGAAGACGCCAATTAAACACAAGAAATTTACCCTCCTGTCACTGACCGGTTTGCCCAATATGCAAAACGTTAACCTCTAAATCTTGTAATTGGCTAACACACACACACACACACACACACACACACACACACACATATATATATATATATATATAAAGTAAGTAGTTTTTATATATATTAAGTATTTTTTATATATATATATATATTCAAAATACTTTTTTTATATATATATATATATATATATATAAAGTAAGTATTTTATATATATATTAAGTATTTTGTATGTATATATATATTCAAAAATATATATATATAAAGTATTTTATTATATATATATATATATATATATATATATATATATATATATATATATATATATATATATATATATATAAGCAAGTGTAAATGGATATAAATCCGAATGAAGAAAAATGAAGAAAATTTTGTAGTTAAAAAAACAAAAAAAATATATAAATGTATATTAAAATGTTTTTTTTTATATATTTATATATATATTCATTTTAACTACATTTAAGGATTTTTGTTTGTTTTATATATATATAAATATTTTATATTATATATATATATATATATATATATATATATATATATATATATGCATATAGCAGATGCACGTAGTCAAGTGGTTAGAACGTTCACATTCTGACCATGAGACCCAGGTTCGAATCTCACCATGATCAATTTGTCAGGAAGGAAACTGGTGTAGGGAGGAAGGGTTTCGATCCCAGCTTGTGGCACATTTGGACAAACCATGCCACGGGTTGACCCAATCCTTGGGAGTGAAATTAGGTTGACGGGACCCTTGGGTGCTGTCGATAGCTGTGCTAGCACGAAGTCAAAAGCCATCGTGGCCTGTTCAAATTGTTGATCACGCTGGATAACACGGTCTATTGTAACTAAGGTCTGCTCAGAATAATTGCAGTATAAACCACAGGTAAGCTGTGTGGGTGTCGAATAAAACACAAATGCCCATCTGCAATAGGGATCGGTTTGCCGCCCTAGGAGACGAGTATTCTCGGATACGAGCGGCCAGCTATGCATAATTACATTGCGGAGGACATTTTAAACATTTGTTATGAGTTACTGTATTGAGATACAACTAAGGTGTTTTGGACATATTTTTATATAGACAGTTTTACTTGTTTTGGTGTGTGCCATGGACAAATTATCGTCTAAATGATGCAGACATGAAAATAACACTGATATTTCATTTTAATAGATGTATTTACTGTTGTGGTAAACCCTCTTACAGTATAATGAACTCTTCCTTCTCTCATAAATACAAACTGCGAGAGTCAGACGGGGGCGCAGAGTGTGAAGTGAAGGGGAGTAGTAGACGCAGTACTAATCTACTTATTACTAACACTATTGTTTTGTATATATCTTCAATATACTTTTTTAATCTACCTTCGTCTTCCGTGTCTTTCTGTCTGGCCCCTAAACAGGCCACAACATTTACCAAATTTACACGAAAAAATATCTTGAAATTCTAAAGAGTAAATTTATTCAATGAAATCGCCATTGGCTTTAACTACAGACTCCAGACTACTTCGGAATCTCCTGCAACTCTCCCGGACGCTCTCCTTGTTTACGTTGGTGATTGCTGCCATAATCCTTGCATTCATCTAATCTTTTCTGTTACAAGTTTTGTTGTACTCCTTCCCAACTGCTCCCCACACCAAATAATAAAAGGGCTTGTAGTCTGGGGATGAAAGGGGTGATGTGGTTGCAGAAATTGCCTGACAGTCTTGATTGGGTTCTCGTGCTTGTTTGGCATGGTGCAGAGTCCTGTTACCAGACATAGGGTCTTCCAGCAGCCACTCCTATGACCCAGGGCAGCACTACTACCTCAAGGCACTTGATGTAGGCCCCATGTTGGGTCTGAGGTCCTCTCCAACAAATTCGGGGGTTCACATTTCTATGGCAGATGCTTGCGTGTATGATCTTCTCTGGTGGAATTGGCTGCGGTAATGACAATATGCAGGGTGCGATGGATAAATTGTTGTCTAACTTACCCATGAATAACAATAACATCGACATCTCAGTTCAACAGATATATTTACTAAAATTACACAAAAATACCTTGAAATACTAAAAAGTAAATTCATTCTATAAAATCGCCATTGGCTTCAAACCACGGCCTCCAGACAACTTCGGAATCTACTGAAACTCTTCTGGATTTTCTCCTTGTTCATGATGATGAATGCTGCCATAATCTTTGCATTCAGTTGATCTTTTGTGTTACAAGGAGTCCTGTTCCTAGACACAGGGTGTTACCGCAGCCACCTTCTTGACACAGGATAGCACTACCTCCTAAAGGCGCTTCATGTAGGCCTCTGTGTTGAATCTGAGGCCCTGTGGGAAGATGAATGGAGGCATAACGTCATCATCACTAGTGATCACTCCAAACACCATAATATTGACTGGATATATCAGCCAAATTCTAGTCCTCTGCATTGTCCTTGATGTAGGCCCTCGTATTGAGTCTTAGGGCTTCGACAATAAATTCGGGAGTTTTCGTCTCAGAACCAGTGTGAGTTTTCCCAGCTGCCGTACCTTCGTAATCACCATTAGACTCATCCAACTCTTTCCAAATCACCTGCACTCTTCTCAGATTGACGCCAAAAGCACTCTGAAGTGTTCATGCTGGAGCTTCCAACGAGAATGCCAAGCACTACAGCCTGCCGTTTACAAATTTCTGGCGGAGGGGGGGGAATTGCGTCATGGTGCTCTTTTTCTCACAGACGGTGCCCAACTGAATGCAGTCGACAAAAATCAAAACCAAACAAAACACATGTGTGAAATTAAAAATATAAAATGGCGACAATTTACCCATCGCATCCTGTGTGTGTGTGCGTGCACACACACACACACACACACACACACATATATATATATATATAATTATTATAAATTAATTGATTTAAAATATAGTTTTTTCGCTACACAGTTCTAACCATGTTTCAAAAATGGAAGCTAAAAGCCACGAATTTAATTTTGTGATTAAATTAAAGACATTAGTTCCATTTCAACCTCAAGCGAATTTTGGAGTAACTTTTAAAATTACTGGGTTTTAAATACACAGCTAAAACAAAATTCATGTTTCCAAGGTTACAGATAAATCTATTTTTCTAGACAGGGGTTTCTACGTGTTCAATATGTCTATAATTTAATGTATCAGTTATTGCTACGTTTGGGTCGTGGAAATATATATATACACACACATATATATATATATATATATTGATTTAAAATGAATTTTTTTTGTATGACCATTTTTTTTTTTTTTTTGCAGGACCTAGGTACCTTTCGGCCAACGCTTCATCAGGGTCTTTCGTTGGCAAATGATTTTAAACAAACAATGAAAATGAAAAGAACGCTAAAATGGTATGGTTGGAACACGTCTAAAATTTTACGAAGATATATACGTAAAATTAAAATAAATTTACGATTAAAATAAATGCGTAAAAATGAATTAATAATAATGAACCAACCTGAGCAGTAAAATAGGAAAATAAGTTGCTCATATATCAAAAAAAGATCGTGAAAAATTCTCCTTTTTGTTTAGAAAGCGATGGTTTAAATAATTTGAGGCAGATGGCTTCCAAAATAGACAGATGATATTTGGACCTGCCTACGCATATAATTGAAAAACGAGTCCATGAAACGTTTTGAAGCAACTCATTTTCTAATAATGATCGCCGAATCGTGAGCTGAAAACACGAATGCAATTATCTAAATTTAATTTAATGTGTCTGGGTACATGTTGTCGATTCTTGTTTCCAAACGAAGACATGTTCGCCCTATATATTCAACTTGCTTTTGACATTTAAATTTATATATAATCGAACTTTTATTATGATAGGGCAAACGATCCTTGGAAAAAAGACCAGTACGAGTACCAAACAACACGTACTTTGGGCCGAAAAGAATAGCAGAAACAACATTCGAAACTTTATCAGTCAAAGTTTACATTTTCTGCCCAGCCAAGGTAAAAGGCAAAGACCTGGGCCAAACATATTGAAATTCTCTACTTTATTGTGCGGTCAACAATGTTGGCTGGAAAACCATTGTTGATTGAATTTTGTTCAACTCTTGTTGAAGTGTGCTAGAGGAACAAATTAATAAAGCCCTTATTCTTAGAGTTCCTAACATTAGTAACAGAAGGAATAGAGTTTAGCTTTGAAAATATTATATACTCCCAAGTAGACGGCGTTTCTATGGGTAGTCTTTTGGGTCCCTTTTTAGCCAACATCTTTGTTGGATATCATGAGAGCATTTTATTTGAGAAATATCAAAAACCTTACATCTATCAACGTTATGTTGATGATACATTTTCTCTATTAAATAACATAGAGGAAGCCACTCTCTTTTGTGAAGCGTTAAATTCCTTGCACCCGTCTTTGGTCTTCACTATGGACGAAGAAATGAATAATTCTATATCCTTTTTAGATGTTCATGTGGAACGAAAGAATAATATTTTCATCACTAGTGTGTTTTGTAAAGAAACCTTTTCAGGTCTTACATAATTGAAACTCATTTGTCCCCCATACCAAAAAAATAAATCTGGTTAAGACCTTAGTTCATAGGGCTTTATTAATTTGTTCCTTCCGCACACTTCAACAAGAGTTGAACAAAATTCGAGACATTCTCATCAACAATGGTTTTCCAGCCAACATTGTTGACCACACAATAAAGCGGAAAATAGAAATTTCAATATGCCCCCAAAATTTGGCCCAGGTCTTTGCCCTATTTATCTGAAATTACCTTGGCTGGGCAGAAAATGTAAACTTTTGACTGATAAAGGTTCGAATGTTGTTTCTGCTACCTTCATTTCGGCCAAAGTACGTGTTGTCTTTGGTACTCGTACTGTTTTTCCGTCTTTTCAAGGATCGTTTGCCCTATCATAATAAAAGTTCGATTATATAAATTTAAAAATGAATATATAGGGCGAACATGTCTTCGTTTGGAAACAAGAATCGGACAACATGTACCCAGACATTAAATTAAATTTAGATAATTGCATTCGTGTTTCGCAATCAGCTCACGATTCGGCGATCGGGCAACACCTATTAGAAAAAGTCATGCTCAAAACGTTTTCACAATGGACTCGTTTTCAATTATATGCGTAGGCAGGTCCAAATATCATCTGTCTATTCCAAATTATTTAAACCATCGCTTATCTAAACAAAAGGAGAATTTTTTTTTCACGATCCCTTCAAATTTATTTTTGATATATGAGCATTATTTTCCTATTTTACTGCTCAGGTTGGTTCATTATTATTAATTCATTTACGCATTTATTTTAATCGTAAATTTATTTTAATTTTACGTATATATATCTTCGTAAAATTTTAGACGTGTTCCAACCATACCATTTTGGCGTTCTTTTCATTTTCATTGTTTGTTTAAAATCATTTGCCAACGGAAGACCCTGATGAAGCGTTGGCCGAAAGGTACCTAGGTCCTGCAAAAAAAAAAAAAAAAAAATGGTCATACAAAAGAAATTCATTTTCTTTAAATCATTATATTTGTTTTGTGGTATCAAAACATTATTCCAATATATATATATATATTTCATACATCTCCCATGAAGATAGAATAAGTCTGTCTGTTGGCCTTGCAAATTACTGACAATGGGAATTTTGAATGCATTCGTCGTGTTCATTTTTGATAATCTTGCCAACTCAATACCTCTCTATCTCGCTCTCACACATGTACACAAATATATATATATATATATATATATATTTGTGTGATATGTGTGATGTATATATATATATATATATATATATATATATATATATATATGTGTGTGTGTTTGTGTGTGTATGTATGCGTGAGAGAGATAGAGAAAGAGAGTACACGTGAGTTGGCGAGATAATCAAAAATGAACACAACGAATGGATTCTAAACTCCCATTGTTAGTAACTTGCTAGGCGGACAAACAGACTTATTCTACCTTCATGGAAGATGGCTGAAACATCATCTTCCTGCTACCGTTCACTCTTCCTTTTATACAAATTAAGTGAAGCTTGATAAATATTCGCATTTAAATAAATATCCGCTGCTGAACGAAAATATAGTTTTAAATAAAACACGTGTAATTTAGTTTATTTTTTTATATAGAGATGCACTCACGGATAAACATAGGGAGTTGATTTTGAAAGCATTGCAAGTATTTTACTTGTTACGCATTTGTTTCCCAGCACTCGGGGTTACGTGTCATATCGCGATGAAATACCGGTTCTTGTAGGGCAACAGAAGTTACGTAACGTCGAGACTGGTTAGTACCTCCATCGGTGACCGCTTGGGAATACCAGGTGCTTTACGGTTGGGTGTGCAGGTGGTGTAATGGATAACGATACGGAATTGGAAATCGGAAAGCTGAGTTCCAGTTTTAGTTGGGTTCGCTTATGCGCTGATACCCTTATTATGAATCCACGTTCTCTCAGCCCGGCTATGGGTTAATTAGTATTTATAGTATCAGTAAATCAATATTATCTCGAAAATTCTTAAAATCTAAAAATGCTTTCTTGTTTTAAATAAACTGCAAAAGGTTGATAAACTGTAAAAAAAATCCAGTACACTATTTGGAATTATCATAAAGTAATTCTTCAATTCAATGAATTATCTGTTGCTGGACTTTTTAAAACGTTTCTTTCTTTTATTTTTCAGTACCTTGTCTTAGAGAATTCAACATCTGTTGTTATTTAAAATAAACTCTAGTTTCTGTCTGCAGAGGTCTCATTTGAAAAAAAATCAATATGTGCGTCATTACAAATGTTGAGGCGTCTTCATACCAAATTAAATAAAAACAGTAAATTTTTTTTGCAGTGAAATTACGCTAAACAAATTAAACATTTAAATTTTGGCAGTTACTGATTCACCTTTCAATCAGGAAGCAAACCAAAGTGCTGTAAATTTTGGAATAGATACATATTTTCAAATATGTTAGCATTAGAATTATATATATATATATATATATATATATATATATATATATATATATATATATATATATATATATATATATAGTAATAAGAAAAACAGTAATCGAGACTAGAGTTAAGCCAATGCTTGGATAAGATTTTAAAAGTGCTCAATGCACAATTCAGAAAAAAAAATGAATTTGTATAGCTGGTAAAAAATTTGTATAGCTGGTAAAAAAATTTGTATAGCTGGTAAAAAAAATTTGTATAGCTGGTAAAAAAAATTGTATAGCTGGTAAAGATATCTAAGATTAGGAAAAATCCACGCACAGCGAACTATCTGGGTTTCGACCTTACGATCTCGTCAGTGAAGTTACTTGTTGATGCTATAAAGATTACCATTTCACTTCCAACCTCCGTTTTGGTTATTTCTCATTCAGTAACCCTTTCTAGGTTGTAACATAAACGATAGCACCGTAATGTATATGAGTGCCGTATATGAAACCGCCATGTTACATGGTTCCAATCATCTGCTTGATTAAAACATGAAAAAAAACTTAAACGGAAAATACTTTTATATAATGAGATTAATCTACTTTCAGACTAAAAGACACTGCGAATATATATTTTCTTTTCTTTCTATGTGCTATGTCCCTTCAGAACATAGGGGATAATAGCCCTCCATTTTCTCCTATCCATCGTAGCTGGAGGAGTGGAGGCACGGTGGAGTAATGGATAGCGGCTTGGATTGAGGAATCGGAGAGACGAGTTCGAATTTCAGTCGAATCCATTACATTCACTTACGTGCTAAGACCCTTGGGAAAGGTGTGAATCCTCTTCTTCTCCCTCCAGCTATGGGTAAATAGCGGGACAGACTGGGTTCTATAGCCTTGGATGGCAACTGGTCTAGGAGAAGGAAAACTCTGAATTCAAACCTGCTCATAGAGGAGAGTGAATGGTGTCTGTGATGGTGTCACGATAAAAAACACCCTTGATAGCCCTAGCGAAGCATCAAGAATTCAGCTATTGACAAGATTATGAACTACACCAATGAAAGTATTAGCTATGACAGATAAGGAATCCTGGAAAGTTGTAGTGAGTTCAATCTCGGCTGAGGCCGCAAGATGATGAGCTCTCAATAAGTTTTGTCTCTTTGCTACTTCTCCCAGACCATGTCTTATCATCCACTTAAGCCCGTTAGGTGTGTCATGCATAGCTTTCCTTTATTTCTTTCCCTCTATTTGACTCGTGAGTATCAGTTTTTCCAAGCTCTCTTTTCTCATTAAGTATCCCAGAAATTTCAGCAGCCTCTTCCTGATGTTAAGTATAAGCCTCCATCTTGTTTGCATCCTCGCCATAACCTCATCGATGCTCACCCGCTCAGTCCATGATATCCTTAGTATCCTTCTGTAGAAGCATATCTCCCTTTGCCTCGAGTCTTTTCTTCATCTTTGAGGTGACATTTAAAATTCGATATCGTAAAGGAGGAGAGAAATCATGTAGAAATTTAGTAGACTTTTCTTTTTTTACCAAAGAAATCCTTCTGTTTCGCAATACTCTGACTAGCTTTTGGAATGCGTCTTTGGCCATTCCAATACATCTTCGTGTCTAGTGTCACACGTACCATCCTCTATCAAAACACTACCCAGATACTGATTTTAGTGTCCCCGACCTGTAAATCGCATTTCGGGTTCATCCTTTTACTGATGACCATGAATTCTGTCTTTTTGTAGTTTATGCTTAGTCCCTTCTTCACGCTCTCCTTCGCTACCTTCTGTAGATTTTGTAATTTCTTTTCCGTGTCTGCTATCAGCACTGTGACGCATATATATATATATATATATATATATATATATATATATATGCGTTTCCCAATCCCAATCGTGACCTCTTCAAGTCTAGACTCAGCATTAGTATAAAAGGAACGAAAAAAGAAACTTTCACTGTATTTCGAGAAGCTTCCTCGTACCATGAGAAAAATGGCTTCATGCCAAATGTTTCACAGAGGTAATTATTGACCTGTAGAGGATCAAAATATTGTCGTCGTCGGCTTTATCTTATATCCAAGAATTTATTTTTTCTTTGCTGATCGCTTCCTTTACGATGATGACTTTGATGACTAAATTCGTCACCAACATGCAGGTTCAGAAATAGAAGCTTCTAGTTTCACCAAAACCTACTCCCGTCATCCATTTCTTATTGCCGTTTGGGTTTGAAAGGGTTCGTTGTAGGTGAAATAAAATCAGAGAGAGAAGAAAGTTGCGATCGTGTGAATTTGTTTAAGGTGGACCTCAGCTTCCCCAGAAGTGATCCCCGCACTTGATTTCATGACCTACCTCTACGGATATGTATCGAATGAGACATCCAGAATTCAGTTACGAAAAACTGCAACGGAGTGCCGCTGACTCTTATAATTTCGAGTGGCGCCTTCTGTAGCATGTCCATCATGCGTAGCCCTCTTCATCCACTGTTTCAACCGTTGAAATCATCCGGCTGTTCCATATTAGTAAAATGACCATTATAACAATATCTATCTATCTATCTATCTATCTATCTATCTATCTATCTATCTATCTATCTATCTATGTGTCTTTTAATATATACAAAAGTAATTGTTGTACATGTATTTTTCTTAAACTGAGCAATCCTATGAAAGAATATTCAATGTGTTATTTTGCTATTGAAAACAATCCTGGTGTAATAAATTAGAAATCCTTTCGTTTCAATCAGCCGCATTTGGTTTGGATATTTTACGAAGTTTATGACACCGAAGAGCAATATTCATTTGATCTGTGTTAGAAACATCAAAAGACAAATAGTTGTTGAAATATTCTGTTTTATTAACTTTCTTTACTTCATCTTTCAGATTCGCGTTGTCACTAGGGTTTATGATTAATTTTGATGCCAGAACAACGACACACAAAAGATGCATACAATTAAAATTCCGATAAAACACACCTGAGTCCATAAAGAATACTTTCAATTTTCTGCAGTAAATTTTGAATATTAATAAATGTTCTCCGTACGAATGTATCAGTCGCTAATAAAATATTCTAGTGTAAATTCGTAGTCGTCTTTGACTTTATCCCGTATTCATATATTTAATTTCTACTTTCATGATCTCTTCCTTTATGATGATGGCGTTCTTGACTAAATTCGCCGCCGACCTGCTAGTTAAGGACTAGAAGCTTTGAGGTTTTTCCCCAAACCTGTTCCCATCATTGATTCCTTATCACCGCACGGCTTTGCAAGATTTCGTTGGAGGTGAAAGAAAATCAGAGTAGTAGAAAATATCAATGGGCTGAATTTGTTTTTGGTAGACCACAACTTGCCACATAATTAATTTAATTACCTAACTCTGCGGAACATAGGGAATGTGATATGCAGAATAGAATTATGAAACTTCAACGGACGGCCGCTGACTCCTTTTTAATTTCGTGTGGTGCCTTCTGCAGCATGTCCATAATGCGTAGCCCTCTTTATCCGCTGGTTCAACCGTTGAGATCTGTTGTAATCGTTATCCGCTTGTTACACCGTCGATGTTTTGGGGGTTGGTCTGGGTTCTCGTCTTTGACCTTTCCGCTCAGGATGTCCCTACCAGGAGTTTAGAACTCAAGACGGCGTCAGTTTCATAGTCATTAGACCATAAAAAGCTAGCCATCAAAAAGGTAGCCATCAAAGGTACGCTTATAAAAACATACACGCATAAACAGGTAAGTATTTTAGTCATTTCTTCATCTAATGTACCATTTTATTATTATTACTAATATCATTTTTTATCTTTCAAATCTGTTAATAATAATAATAATAATAATAATAATAATAATAACTTTTCTCATATATTTGATGATAATTTTATACTTTTCTTATTTCCTTAGTGTTCGGTTTCTGAAGTAATAATATGACACAAAAGATTATAAGACTGGCGCAAACACGTAAAAGAAGTCAAACGATAGATGGAGAGTAATGGTTCAGATGGTAATGATTGCAAGCCACCATTTTTTGCATTGTTTTGTCGAATGGTTGAATAGGCGGAATACAATTAATGCTTTGTTTTCACTCGTCTGATAGGTAAAAGTCAGTAGACTACATCCCGCTGGCTAGCACATTCGACTGGCCTGTCTCTTTTCGCATTTAAGTGATTGATCAATTAGTAATCCCTGCGGCCATTTTTAGTGTAGTTCGGCGCCTTACAAAATTGATTGGAATGACAACGGTAATGGTGAAATTAGCCGTTCTCATACATTTTCCAGTCTTCTGAAGCCAATGACATCAATGCAGGCGTCCCTCTTGGTCTTCTCTTTAAGATTAATGATCTGCCTAAAAACATTCTCAGATCTTTAGTAAATATATATGCAGATATAGCTTGCAGTAGTTCCCAAACGTTTTTTTCTTGGACCGCATTAACAGAATAAAAATTTGCTCGAGCCTCATCAAATTTTATGTGATAAAAAGTATATTTAAAAAACAAACAAACAAAAAAATTAGCGTGTGGGTCAAAGGGAGATAACCGCAGATTATTATACCTCAGAATGTTATCGTTGATAACTCTCTCCTCCAATTTACGGAGCCTGGTTACTATATTCTTAATACATGATACAATGAAATAAAATAGCACAAATATAAAATCTGTTAATAATTACTTATATCTATTTATGCTGGTACTCATGCATGCAATTACAAGTAATCCATAATAATTCATTTTTTTTAATATAAAGAATAAATTTATTGAAACAAAGTTTGAAGAAAGTATCTATAAACAAATGTTTTTTTGATCTCTTCTGCCAGCCGCAATGATGGAGAAAGCATTAGCTCGTACCATCGCCAGTGAGACACATCCATAATAATATTTTAAATTTTGAAATCATATTTATTTTTGACATTTTTAAAAACTGTATCTAAATCTTTGATTGTCATTCATCGTCTCCTACTATCCTCTTCCGCCACACCAATGTGGCGCGCTGCATCGTTTGGGACCCACTGGCTGACGGAGTTAATTTCCAAACATATAGAAGACAAGGCCTGATATATTCTCTAGTTTAGCATGCATAGGTCGATGGGAGTATGTTGCTTTTTTTTTTGTTTAGGAGCTTATCAACATCTGTGGGATAAATATCCCACATATAATAATGGTTTTAGTGAGACAATGTGTAACTAATTAACCCAGAGCTGGTAAGAGTAGAGGCATTTGGGCGCAACTGAATGTAAGGGACTCAGCTGGAACTGTAATTCGGCTTTTCGATTAACAACTCCGAGGCCTTATACATTACACGACTAGCACACCAATGCTTACAACACCTGGTATACCCAATCGGTTAACCATCAGGCTTAACGTGCTTATCTTTGGTGGTCGTACGGTTACCGGTGTTTCAGCTTTATGTGGCTGTAAGCACTTCAATGGGAAAAGTTGGCTTGTAATAATCAATAGCTCCATAGTAACATTTTAACATCTCAGATCAGGCCTAGAATTCACTCCAATCATGATGAACGATCGTATGAGGCTGCTTGCCTCGAAGATCTTCTGCGACTGAAGCTCACACTAGACCTGAAGTGGTAGTCATTTATACGTACCATCGCTAAGGATGCTAGAAAAATGGCCGGTCACTTGTAACGCTCCAGAAGATACTCTTTCTGTCGTGCTCTAACCAGAGTAGACCAGAAATGGATACGTAGGCTGGAGCTACACAACTTCGAGGCATTATACATTACACGAGCAGCACACCAATGCTTACAACACCTGGTATTTCCAATCGGTTAACCATCAGGCTTAACGTTGCTTATCTTTGGTGGTCGTACGGTTACCCGTATTCCAACTTGATGTGGAGGTAAGCACTTCAATGGGAAAAGTTGGCGTGTAATATTCACAAGCTCCATAGTAACATTTCAAAATCTCAGATCAGGCCTAGAATTCACTCCAGCCATGATGAACGATCGTATGAGGCTGCTTACCTCGAAGATCTTCTGCGACTGAAGCTCACGCCAGACTTGAAGTACCTGAAGTAGTACTCATTTATACATATCATCGCTAAGGATGCTAGAAAAATGGCCGGTCCCTTGTAGCGCTCCAGAAGATAACTTACTCCTTTTGCCATGCTCTAACCAGAGCAGACCAGAAATGGATTATTGCCGCCACACGTAGGCTGGAGCTGCACAATCCTCACTTCCCAACGTTGACATAGTTCAAAAGCGTTATGGCGGCCTTGTGTATGATGCATTATTTTCCACACAACAAAGCCGAAACGTTGGTAACCTCACATTCCCAACGTTCCAAAATTTTAAACCATCAGAGATAGAATCCACCACGCCACGTACACAGAGTCGGTACATCCTCATTACCTTTGCATTTCATTGCTAAGAAGGAGATTCCACTCACATATAGGTTTTTCTCCAGAAGTATTACGTTGTGGTACAGGCTCCCGAAATCATGCTTTCTCAAAACCAGCATAGAGATAAACGAAAGAAAAACTGGGAGGCAGTTAATAGATGAAATAGGTAGCAAGAAAGGAAGAAACAAAAAAAAAATATCATGGAAAATGTAGACAGAGATTAGGAAAGAAAATTTTTTTAAAAAGAATAATTAGAGAATTAATAGAAAAATAACAAAAAATAATCGCCAGAAAAAAAAATGAAAGAAACATTTAGAAAAGTGGGAAAAATAGATGTTTTAAACTGAGAAATTTAAGAGGAAAGTTAATTTACAAATAAAAATGAAAAAAGAAATTTGAAAGGTTATTTGAAATGGCGGCATTTTTTCAAAAGGTGAGTGAATCGTTTTACTTGTTTTTTGTTAGTTCCAAAGTTCACACACACGCATATATAAACCATGTATTTTTGTCGATTATTTTGAAATATAGGTCCATAACGTTTTGTCACGCCAACAGGGCCTATTTACAAAGATGTCGGTATTATAACCATTAACTATTACCATTTTTGAAATATTCATAGAAATTGTTAATTTTTTTTTCTAAGTTTATTAAAAGGAGATTTTTCCTTTAAAACGGAAAATAACATGAAAGGTTTTTAAACTCCAGAAGACATGATTCAAAACAGGCCGCTGGGTGTGGACTAGATGTCGGTCAGAGCCTCTGACTGACCTTAATTTTTGTGGTACAGGCGGTCCGCTGAAATCATAGAAGCTTTCAAAATAACGAAAAACTTTAAATTAGAATAATAGAAATGAAAAGTCAGAGAGAAAGTGTCTTTGGGAAAGTGAAAACGATATACGGGGAGGACACCCACGTTAAGAAAGTAGAGATAGACCCAGATAATTAGATGAAAAACAAAGAGGTAAAAAGAAGGCAAGCAAGAAAGGGAAGAAGGCGGAAAAAAAAAAAAATATCATGGAAAATGAAAGAAACTAAAGAGATTAGGAAAGAAAATCGGATTTTTTTTTTTTTTAAAAAAGAATAATTAGAGAATTAATATTGGTCGAAAAAATAACAAAAATAATCGCCAGAAAAAAAATGAAAAGAAGAGAAAGAAAACATTTAGAAAAGATCACCTGACAAAATAGATAAAGAATGCGCCCCCAAAAGCTCGGAAAAGTGGGTGAAAAAAAGAACGAAAAAGATAAAATTAAAAAAAAGAA